TTAGGGTTTGCTAACTAATAATAGAAATAAGAGACTGGTTTTGCCTGGAGAAAAGATGGCTGAGGGAAATACTACGAGTAGCCTTGCAATATGAAAGAGAATCCAAAGCACAGCTCTTTATGGAGGTGCATCCTCAGAAGGATGAGAGATAACGAAAAGTTTCCTCGATGGCAGTCAGGCATTGGAACCGGCAGCCAAGAGAAGTTGTGTAAACTCTGTCCTTGATGCCTTTCAAAACCAACTGAACAAAACCCTGTTCTGAATTCAATCTTCCTCTTGCTTTGAGCAGCAGGTTGGACTAGATGACCTACAGGACCTCTTGGGTATACTCATAGAGTAACTTAAGTTCATTTAAGCAATACTATAAGTTATCAGTGGCTGTCTAAAAGAAATGTATTCTTTCCTCTATGATAAGCGAGGTTACACCTGGCAGTAAATTGGCTTAGTGAAGGCTATTCCTGTTATCTTCATGTGTTTTGTTTGGCCATTATGCAGATAAAAGGTATGATATAGAGACCATGAAACCTCAGTTCTACAAGCTGTGATTGTAAAAAGTTACTTCAACTCCTCTTTCTATGTCCGTTATATCATCTCTCAAATATCCACTCTTAAACTGACCAATCACAGATGCTTGTCTTCCTAACTCTGCTTAAGAACTTTTATTTCATGTTATTTTTTTAAGATGTCCCTCCTTGTATTCTTTCAGCCTCCTGGCTTGCTTTGATGACTATGTTATTACACTTCAGGGATTTTCAAGACGATTAAGAAACAGTTGTTATTCTTTCTGTTTTAGCACGCTCCATGTATTTAAGTGGCCTTTCAGAGAGAATTTGAAAATCTATAAGCCATTTTCAATACCACAGATTCCACTATACTAACTTATACATTAATTTTACCCCCACTCTGAGATTTAGAACAGAGCCGCAGTAGGTTTTCCCCCACCCTTCATTCCTGCAGGAAGAAGCAAAATTGATAGAAAAATAACAACAGTACTATTGTACATTGACTAATACTTCTCCTTGCTGTGGAAGGAAAAAAGGCTACTGATGCCCTCAGGAAATTCAGAAAAATTAGAATTTGATGTTGTGGAGAACCCATGTAGAAAGCTATGCTTAGAGGATGAAGAAAAAGAGTGGCAAAAAAGTGCCACTCACACTTTTCTGTAAGATCACAAAATATTATTCTCTGGTTCATAAATATTCTTGTATTTGCTCATGGTATAGAAATCACAAGTATACAAGTTTTATCTGTTATTAGTGTTGAGGAAATGGCTGCAAACATACAGATGCAGAGGAGAGCATTACATTATTGATGTTACATGTAGTTCCAAACCTAAATCTCTGTGGGAATCTGTTGAATATATACATCATCTAAAGCTTGTGCTTCAAGTCATCCTGTGCCAAGAACACTGATACTTAAAAAGAATCCAACTTTTTGGTACAAAAGGCTATAGTTACACTACCCACTGAGGTGAACGAGTTCTGTTGGGATAGCAGAAGAAAGTATCCTACTGTTGCTCCATATTGCCATAACTAGGCAGCCTCACGATATGGAGATTAGGCATACCCACATGATATGGCTGGCTTACAAAGCACACTTGCTCTTACAAACTTCCCTAGTATAGTTTTTAAAATATACTAATTCTTTATTTCATTTCTACTTAATGTGGCAACAGATCAAAAAACTCATGCAGAAACAGTGAACCAATTACAATTACTAGAAATACCTAAAATTTATAAAAAATACTTTGTACCAGTATAGGGGTCCAGGAGTGTTGCTGCCTTAACTCATGGGATTCTTTACATCCACAGAGGTGAGATTTCAATCAGTGTTTGAAAAGATCTTTTGAGAAAGAAACCGAAAACAAATTTATTTCAAGTGTATCAAATTGCTTACAAGCGTGTTTCCACTATTGGTTGTCATCTAATAGGTACAGTTAGAGATGTTACAAAAATCTGTTGTAACCACTATAAACAAGCCTGATGCCAACCTAAATTCTAACCCCTCTTTTTCATTATACATATCCTTGAATAATTTCCACTGGATAATTTCAGCAAAGTAAGAGGGCAAGCCTTGTCCCTCTACAAGTAACAAGCTATAAGGAAAAGAGATCAGCCTAGATTTTATGAAGAATCCACGCCAGAGGCTTCAGGCTTTCACATTCGTTTCACACACCCTATGGCTCTTGCTCAAGACACTAAACAGCAATGCTCTGGTGGCAGTTTGCCATAAGATATAAAATAATAAAAAGTAAGTCACTGCCGTTTACTCTGTTTCTTCTCTCCTCAATGGAGACCATTCCACATTAAGGCATCTTAATAGACGATAGCATTCATATTGCACAACTCATTCAAATGACTAGCCGTGCATATGGATGGGATAGATAGGCGTAACAGTATTTACAGACAAAGCAGATATTGGCAACTTGCTCTGCTCTCAGAGCGAATTATTCACATAAACACAGTAAATATTAGATCCCCGAGGATACCGCAATGTTTTTCACTCAAACGGCAATTACCTGAACTGCACATGTCTGAATTCATTTGCAAGGCCATCCTAGTTTGAGGTTTTAGACAAATATACAGTATTCTTTCTTTATTATTATGACAAGGCAAGTTTGCATAAAAAATTTTAATGTAAAGAACAATATTAAAACAATATTCAATTATTAATCTGACATACACTTAAATCTTATTGGAAGGCAGCAGATGATGTCCATTTTCAGATACTACTTTTACAAATTAAAAAACCCAAACCCTCCAAGATATGAGGTAACCTTGGGAGACTTTCTTTAACAGCTCCTACAATTTTCAAGCATTACTGTTCAGCGTAGGAAAGTGTAATGTTATTTTCATGGAAAGGAAGCTTATGGCTCTGCAGATCCCTCAAGACTGTCTTTATTTTTTCCTTAACAAAAATTGAGAAGAAGATAAGCAAGGGCCTCATAGGCATTCTGCTTCATACTAATGGCAGGCACTAAGATCACAAAGCCACACTCTTATGCCACGTAACTAGAGGGATGAAGGAGAAGAACAAACTAGGTTATTTGTTTAGTAAAACAGGCTTTTGTTTGGATATTTTAACTTCAGTTTGTGTAACCGATATGCCAGATGGCACCAGACACATATGGGAGAAACTTCATTTTGGCATGCATATTAAAGGAGAACAGTGATTTAAAGGTGGCCATAAGGAAGGCTATACATGGACACCGCCAGAACTATACCTCCAGGGTTTTTACTCACATATTAGAAGCAGTAACTTTATCAGAGAAAGTGTTTGCTAACCAGCAATTGCTTTCTGTGCAAAACCCAGACTATGGAATACACATTTAACAGATGAATAGATCATCTGAAATCCTTCAAATTAGCAAGGCTTTGTGCTGAAATCCTTCAAATTAGCAAGGCTTTGTAAGCACATTACTGCTCATGGTAAAGTATCTGTTTTAGAGAAGTCTACATAACTGATTCAACAACACTGTAAGAGATACTTCAGTCTGCTTAGAGGATGTAGGATTTTCAGTGTATGATCTAGCAGAGATGACAAGACAGTGTCCCAGTCAGTCCTGGAAAGCTGCTGGAAGAAATTGACTTTTCAAAAAATACAGAGATGACATAAGCTAAAAAGTCCAGCTTTGAGGATTTACTAGAATTCAGCTATCGGAGATGCCACATCCAAAGCAGACGCATTAAACCAGAGCTTCACGTGAGCAAAGGCTGGCCAGATCCACCTTATTGGCCTACTAGCGGGCAGTTGTGTGTCCCAGTTAGGCAGGCTTTCTGGAGATGCGTGCCTGAACACGATCAGAAGCATAAAAAGCCACATTTAAATATAAATAAAGTGAATGCTTTCACTTTTGTGTCTAATAAATACACCATCATTTAAATACATAGTCTTTTAGTTGACATGCACAACCACAAGAAGATTGCTATTCTTTTCTTCATTTGTGCTAGAACTGTTGTCCTATTATTTGACTCGCCCTTTACAAATCGATGCTTTTAGCACAGGTACGGAACTGTGCTATCTCATTTCAGATGCTAGCTCCATTTGTTAAGTGTAACTATCTCCATTCTTTTTAAACACCTCCAGATAAAGTACAAAGGTTTAATATTTCTTCTTTTGACTTTGCAAAGCAAAGCACAGTAGAAATTGGATAACTATTTTAAGAGACAATGTGCTTTCCCAGTGTCTTTCCACCACATACTGGGTGCTAACAATTATGGTTAACTCAATGGTTATACCGTTCCATGACTATCTGTCTACACATTCCTCGGAGTATGAATTCAAGCAAACAACGAATTTTTAATGTCGGAAGAACTCAGACAACTCCATCTGCCAGGTAAATTTGTCATTTCTAAAGCTCAGCAGACTCACCATCTCCTCAAAGACTGACACTCTGAAGAAGCACTATCTGGGGGTGAAGGAAAAGGCTCTGCTGGCACACAAAGGACTTGTGGTAACGTACCATTATTCCCTCCCTTCTCCTCTTCCCCCCTCCGAGTTCTCATATTTGGATTACTAACTTCACTGCAGTTTCTGCATAGCTGTGCTTCAGGATCATGTTTCAGGATGTAATTAGCCTTACAAAAAAATGAAGGGAAAATGCTTCAGTCATTTTATTTTCCATGCATAAGCTACAACTTCGGGTGAAAACATTGCTGTAAGTGGACAAAGGAAAAATTTTCCATGCTAAAACTTCAACAAAAAGGTTTGCTGCTTATAGATTATAGGCTACGCAGGCAAGAGTGGATTAAGAAAATACGAATTGAAGAAAAAAGTTATAATTTGAATAAATGTTTTTATGTTACGGTTATGCTTGCCAAAATGTATTATCTCTGTAAAACAATAAATCTACATTAAAATCACGCCACCTGGAAACTAAATTTTTAAATACATAAACCAGAACTGAATAAAAGACATTTTTCGTGTCTTTTGAAAACACTCCATTTTCCTGTTCCTTATGCAACCAACTGTAAGTACTGAAAGAGAATTTCCAGCTGTGCCCTGTCAGCCTACGGACCGAACATATTGTGCTGCTTTTCATTTTCCTTAAGTGAGCTTTTTAGTTCTCCGAGTAACAGTATTAGCTGATTCTCTGCACACAGAACAGAACAGCGCTTTGTCCCCAGGGAAAGCAGCTATTTCAGACTTAACAAAGGAATCATCTAACATGTTTCAACAATCCCTACTGTTTCTCTGTTTGTTTTAAAGATATCACTGTGATTTTATTCCATTTGCAACCGGAGACTAAATGACACCAAGCAGAATCTGCTGTTAGGTTAGATTACAAGGTAAAATGTTTTAAATTTTAAATTACTGCTTAAAGCATGGTGTTGAATGGCTTAAACGACATGTTAACTTTGCAAATATGTATGAAATAATAGTAGCTATATTTAGCAATACTGAACATAAATGCTTTTCTAGATAAAGTATGCAATACCAGTTGATCTGCTTTTGTTTGGTATGAATGTTTGCCATGCACTTCAAGCTTAAACTAACAGACAGTGGAATTAGTTTTGCCGGTATGGCTAAATGTAACTCATTTCTATGCGGTATATTTAAAGAAGAGTATGTGAAAAATCTCGGTAAATCACTTTAACCCCTGGGTATCATGAGAAGTAACCCTGACGCCTTAGAAACATGTTTGAATTTAGACTGAATAGATGAAGATAGGTTATTTAATAAGTTTTGATACACTGGTATTTTGAAAGGGTCACTACTTTAAAAATTAACTATTTCTGTTAACATAATAGCAAAATGACAGATACAGAACTTACTGAAGATGAACATTTTGAAAGCTACAAACTACTGAACACATTTCATGATAAAAGCAAAGGTAATAAAGGAGTAAAGGTGCTTACACATATGATGCATGATCTAAACATTTAGGGGTAAAATTAAAAAAGGTATAGCAATGCAGCCATGTTGAGAGTATCTGGCATCACAAAGATATAATAATTTCATTATATTAGCTATCTATAATTTTATTTTCATATGTAATCATTTATTACAAAAGTCGTAGAAGTTGAACAGGTTGAATTTTCCCTAAATTAGAAGTTGGCTGGCACTATACCAAATGTAACTTCCTGATGGATAATCTGAGGATTCCGGTCACGGGCAGTAAAGGCCCAATGCATTTAAGGCCTTTTTCTTGTATGACACTCATAATTTGGGCCTTAAATGTGAGACAGCACTTATTAAATAAGTCAAGGAAAGAAACTTCGAAATGTAGCTCAGTATTTTGCATGTAAGGAACAGCATTTGATTGAAAGTAGAAGTACTAAGCTTTCAGTACTAAAGAGTTAACTTGATGTGAAAATATAGCATATGAACTCACATATATGAACAGGATTAGTTTATAAAGACATATTTTTGGAGGGGTTGTTTTCTGTTGGTTGGTTGTTTTTTTTTTTTAGTTTTCTATTTTATGAAAACAAGTTTCCCTTTAAAATAATTGGGTGTACTGTAGAGTTTTACTCTGTATTGAAGTTAATAGCAAAACTCTGAGACATCTTTTGTACAGTAAATGTAATGTAATTCACCCTATATTATTCCTGACTTTTAAGAATACATGCGTAGAGAATGAAAAAGTATTTCAGTCATGCCATTACATGCCTCTGGTCACAGGGAGAAGGGGTTAAATGTTCAAAAAGCAAAAATGTAATGTAGCACTATTGTAACTACATAGCTATAGCGTTATTATAAAGTATACTATAAAAATGTGACCATAATTAAGATGTCACTAACTCAACAGAATGAATGCACATGTTCAAGACTTTTCTTTGTATATTCAGTTTTCCCTAAGGGCTCTTTGTGTGTTTCATTCAAACTTGCGGAACAGAAGTTTACTGTGTAATTTTATAGCAAGTCATTACCATGCAAGAAAGTTAGAAACCACAAACATTAGGTCATTTGTCCTGCAAGCTGAGGTACTAAGAAAGAAGCACTTTCTGAAAAAGGACAGACATCAGGAAGGCAGAGAACAAGCTTCTGCGTCTATTTGATATGTTAACTAACAGTAATTTCTGTAAATAAAAGGCCAGTATAAAGTCTATAAAGCATTTTGGAATAACTGATTTCTAATGGGTAGAAAGCAGTAAACTAAAGTCTGGATTAATTTCAGAACCCTGCAATTACATGAGACGTTATGTGGATTTGTCTAAGATGCATCTCAAATTCCCTTTATATGGGAATAAAATACTAGGTTAGCTTAACAAAACCCTGCGTATTAATACATATATTTGCTATACTACTTTAAAATTAAAATAGTTGAACATAAATCCTACAATATTAGAAATAAGTAAAAGCCCACTGTTTCAAGCTTATTTACTGCCAACGTGCCATTTAAAAGATACTATGAAAATTATGCTGTGGAAAGCATGAAAATCATACAATCAATCACCTGCCTTATGTTAAAGAAAAGTTAGGCAACTTGTACTGAAAGCTTGACCAATTATATAAATCAGTCAATACCAAGATGCACAAACTTTTAAAAAACATCTGATTCAGGCAAAACCACGGTTCAAATTCCTGCAATAATACTATCCTGTATTTAATAAATCTAACTGCAAAGTGAAAGGACTACATATTAAGTCAGACTGATGAACATTAAGGATTTTTTTAATGCTCTCAAGACTTCCTTAGAGATAAGCTATGGCTATAGTCTAAGACTTGTCCTGGACACAAAGACTAAGTGCTCTAAGTCTCGAGTTCTTCTCTAATTCTGAACATCACAAGAATACTAGTGTCTTCAGACTCTATCGCCCCAGTTAAGATAGGCCACAGGACAAGAGCGCTTCCTTTTTGAAAGATTTATGCTGACAGAGCTATGACAAATCATTAAGAACTTTGGACATGTACAGACTTATTTCCACACTGATACAGCCATTGCTGGATATGCTTTCTATGCATACTCCTGAATCTTGACTGCTCTGTTTTGGAATGCCACCTATTGGTGACAGTAAACGTAATCTTTCTGTCAGAAACATAAGAAGGCTCAAGATATACAGTCATTTTTAATTTCTTAGAAAGTGCAGAACACAACAATCTTTTTAGACTACCTACGCTTAATGAAAACTTCCACTAGATAAAGCAGGTGGGGGATGTCACAAATAGTGCTATTGTGATCAAACTACCAAAAGGTGTCCTCTACTGCAGAACCCAAAAGATTCCGTTAAAGAGGATGGCAAGAAATGGAAGCAAAAGTAACACCTCTTTTCATCTGTGGTGAAAAATACCTTGCACAGAAATGACAAAGCAAAATCATTTGGGGCAGAATATCAGAAATCAGTTGGGCATTTTTCTGTTACTTTGCCATTCCGATGTTCAGAAGTTACAACAACCCGAAAGAAATATTAGTAATCAAAATTGCAGGAACACTTTACAGGTCTCAGGAACACCCTTGCTGGAAGCAGTAACAATTACAAAGCTGCATATGCCTGATGGCACTGCCAATCTAAACTACCTTTGTAGAATCACAGAATTGTTGAGGTTGGAAGGGACCTTTAAGATCATCAAGTCCAATCATTAATCCAACCTGACAAAACCACTTCTAAACCATGTCCCCAGGTACCACGTATTTTAAATGCAACGCCAAATAGAAAGCTAGCACCTCTTTAAATGCATGACTAGTTTTGATTGAAAAAGGTACTTCTAAACACAGTTTGACTTATTCAGCAGTCAGCTGATGAGTAGGACTCGACGGGACAATGGGATGTTTGACTCGATTGACAGCTGGACTCGATGATCTTAAAGGTCTTTTCCAACCTAAATAATTCTGTGTGATTCCATGATTCTGATAAAATAAAATATCCTTCCATCCAGCAGTATACTTGAATTTTACTATTGTCCTTAAGGGCAGAGAACTACAAAAATAAAATTGCTTACTTGAGTTCTCATAGGGCAGATTCTTTCCAAGAGGAAGCTTGGCTGTATTGATCTACCATGTATTGGTCCACCTGCTTTGAGAAGTGCACCATATGACTGACCTAATCCTAAAAGCTCTTTAGGTATCTAATTTTCCTTTTTTTTCCTATTCCAGGATACTTTGAGACACACAAAGACATGCAGGCTACATCGTTAGTCTATTATTTCCTGCTTGTGTCTCTGTGCCTTGATTTTTCTCAAAATGAAACTAGTGCACTTCTCAGGAGGCAAAAGAGAAGAATGCGCTCCAGAGGACCGAGAAGCTCCTCAGCAGGGCACAGGTCCCCAAGGCAGCCAAGGATGAAGCTTCCAGCTCCTGTTGCTGGAATACCCAGCATACCTCTTATTAACATTGATGACGGTGTTATGGGAGTATTTGACTCTCTCGTAGGTTTGGGTGGACATGAATCTAGTTACAGTGTCTTACCAGGTAAGAATAAAGCTCCTCTCCTATTTAGAGTGGGCCCATTTTTCTCTTGATTTCAAATGAAGCGCATAAACTCATGAAAGCTTTATTTTAGCTCTATTTGCAACAGATACTGAAATAAACCCCAATTACCTTTTTGCTAACCTATTTCTGTTGCCTTTTATAGTCATTTTGTCGTTAGCATATGAAGCTTTTTAATTGTCTACGCTTAAGCCTTACAGAGAATCCTGCTTTGCCATGTAACAGTAATATTGTCTGCATTTTTATTTCATTATATCTAACAAAAATTTTGTTGAGCTATTTTCATAACTTCAATCATGTAGCAAGTTTGAAGGCCATTTTAAAGACTTTCTTGCTCAATATATCTCCTAGGTCACTAAGGCCCTAACAGCAGTAACACCAGCAGTGTTACTTAAAATGGATTTATGTTCTTATTTTTTGTTATATTTTTGAAAAGCAACATTCTTACTATGTGTACCTGCAATATTTTGAGAATAATTCTTTATTTTGTAAATAAATCAATAACACACTTTAATAGTTGCAATATGAAACTTACATTACAAACAGGACCCTTAAGAGGGAAACCTAAACTAACAGAAAGAAAACCCACACATTCAACACAAGATCATTCTATTCTCTATCTATGTCGAGAACCTGGGTTTATTTAAAAGAAGTTCAAAAGTATGATTTATATAAAACTTGCCTTTTTCATGACCTAGAGGTTTTCATGTTGCTGTACTAATATTTACTTTATGTTTTTTGATGGAGGCATAGGGAAGAGGATTTGATGTCTTAAGAAACAAACCGACAAACAAGTATAATGTCATTGATCTTTACTGAAACCTGCCTTGGTAACCGTAAGAGGCCTCTCTACGGTCTCCTCAAAGAATGCAAGACAAGAGAGGGATTGAGAACTGATAGCTGTTAAGTGTCTCTTTGGCCCTTAGTGCAGCAAAGGAAGAGAACTCTTGGCTTTAAGATGTTTGTGATTTTACGTTCAATGTCACAAATGGGAAATCACAACTCACAAAACAGGAAATAAAGACCCACAAGAGTCTAAAAATCAGACGTCCATTCTGAAGATAAGAACTTCCGAATACTACTGTCAGTATTTTTCAATTTTGAAACCGTAGTTATTAACCGATCGAAAATTGGTTATTACTGGAAAAGATGTTATAACACTTCATTTCTTTTCATAGAAAGAGGTTCAAAGGTTTGAAGAAAAGACATTGGGATGTTGTGAGTAACTAATACAGGGTTGTGTCTGCTCTATAGCTGATAAATACAGACATAGATACTTCCATTCCAGAACCAAGAGATCACACACTGAGTAAAATCACCATATGCAATTTTATGAAAAAAAAGCACCCCGATTTCTACTGTTCTACATAAAAGGAGAATAAACTATTTTTACAAGCAAAAAGTTAAGCCTTTTAATGTGTCACACGAGACACGACCACAAGGTTAACAGGTCTCAACTTAAATGGCAAAACATTTTTTAGTCACAGTTTTTAACAATTACTATTTGCTGTGACTCCTTATTTTCAGAAAGGCTGAACCATGTCAAATCAAGTATTTGTCAAGTATGGGGTTTTAACAGGAAAACTAGCAAAACTCTTGACTTCAGCATTTCTAGTGTGTACTACAATATTCCTGTCATAATACATACTACTCATGTCAACCCATTAATTTAAAAATATTTTTAAAATTAAACAGAGGAAAATACCACATAAGTAGCATGCACAATGTAAGATATTCCAGTCTGTCTGTCAGGGATCATCAGTCATGCTGAAATAATGCACAGTTCTTCCCCCCTCCCCACCCCGTTTGTTTCTTTCTATCTGGACTTGCATCCAAAAGCTGAGCTAAAACCACTGAACTCATTTTATTTGGAACTCCACGCTGAATTTACACCATATTTCCAAAGGTTAAAAGTCCTGTGCTCATCTGCCAAAGACTTCAACCACAAGGTATTTTTCAGTCTAGCTTTTAAAGTTCAAAATTTTTTCAAGTTAATGTCAGATTTGGAAAAAACAGAGCCTATTAAATAATAGAACGCTATTATTAATCATGCTTCAGAACAGCAGAAAATGCAATCCAAAACTTAATTTTCATTCTGCTACTTGTTGTGCTATTAGCTTCAAAACAATTCACATATATCATATGCAAGATAAAAATTAACAATTTAAATAGTGGTTTAACAGTAACCAGACGTATCTCCTCCCTCCATATAAAAATCACGTGAACCATTTAAATTAAATCAAACAGTTCATCACAACATAGGAGAATTTGCAGTCCTTTGTCCTTTATAGGCTACATTCTACCCATTAAGCAGTGCAGAATAGGATGGACGCCGTTGCACTATTTCTAATATCTCTTCAACCTCACTTCTGCCTGCCTGAACCATCATACTGACGTTATTCAGTGGATAGGAAGTTCAAGGAGCATCGCAACACAGTGTTTACTCTGTCTCATAGGGGTTATGCGACTACCAACGGGGTGCCAAATAGCAGTTCTGCAGCACAATAAAAGGGTTCCTCACCTCTTTGCCTTTGAGCGCACACACTTGTCCTGTCATTTTAAGTAACTCGTGCACACAGAGCACAAGATAATTTGTTGAAGAATTCTGCAGAGGCCAAGGCCTGTTAACCCATATCTTTATGCTTATTCAGACAAGATGTGCGCTAACTTCAGATACAGTCTAGTAGCTAAGACAAAATAAAGAATTTAAGGAAGAACAGAAGAATTTCCATCTCAAGCCAGATATTCCTCTGGAACAGCTGACATTTTATTGTTTAACATGAGAAAGTGTAGTGTTCTTTCTGTGTTTCCTTTGGAGATTATTTAAAGGAAATATTGTGGCTTCCTGGCAAGCCCATAAAAACCAGAAGTCAGGATCTAACAAACAGCTGGATTACAGCTACCTGGGTAGAATGACAAGGGACTTACAGCCAACTAACATTTGGTCTGGGCTAACTCATCTCCTCCTTCAGTTAACATGGCTTGAGACGACTGGAGCACAACTTTATGCGGCTGAGATTATGCATACGTTATGCATCCTGGATCTTTGAAAAAACAAGATGCAACTGTTAAAAAAGTTAATTTCTCCCCCTTTCTATCCCGAGAGTAACTTGAATCAAAGGAATAATTTTTAAAATAAAATATAAGGAATACAGCAGAGCATCCAAACAGGATGATTCTGATAATTTTTATGCTAGAAATCGGGTTCGTATCTCACAGCCTTTATGAAGGAGGAAAGGAATCCCTTTGTTATGAGGCTGGGAGTAGGACTGCCTTGAAGGACTTTGCAAAATGCCTGATTTTGAGTCAAATATTAATTCCAGGGCCATTTCAGAGCACAATGTCTTGTCAGAATATTTACAAACTATCCTGAATACTTTTCCCTTTAAAAGTGAACAAGCAAGCATGGACCAGGGCAGAGTGTGGGAAAACAAATCCTGCAAACAATCCTTCCAAAGACAATCTGCCTATTGCAAAGTCTCTTGCATGTAAATTCAGCTAGATTAAGATTTTCCCACTGCATTAGACAATCTTCATCTGATGGAGGAAGTCAAACCAAATAAGAAAAAAAGGAAATTTTTATTTATACACAGGAAAGTACAAGGTAACTTCGAAATGGGTTTTCAGCTTGAACTGAACACTTCAGCAATGCAGTCTTACATTAATTAGAAAGAGGAAAAGGAAGATGCGTAGGGAGTACAGATTCTCACCAGATTCAGAGGTACGCTCAAAAATAGGAAAACAGGATGAAGAATCTCAACCTTGGCTTTCCTTCTCTCAAAAGACCAACAAAAAAGTGTCATGCTAAAGTGCAATGTTTATCCTGGAGTCTGGATGAGAACTGCCCCAGGAAACTTTTGCTGAAGTAGACTCCTTCACTGGAAGGAGAGAGAGACATGGAATAGTTTCCTTCCCAAGTCTTCATGCTCTCCAAACAATTTGCCTACTGAATATCTGAGTATAGCTTACAAAATAAATTATTTCTACATTTCTTTCTGAAAACTTAGACTGGTACCCTAAGGAAATCTCAATTTTTTTTGTAGATTCATGTCCAGAACCTTTGGAGACGAAGTATTTATTAGTACAAGTTGTTCAAGCTTGCTACTTTCCTAGCAAAGAGCTTTTTTCAGATAAAGCAAGTTACAGGGAAAAGGTGTTTGCCATCTTACCAGTCATTACAGAATGGACTTTACTTCCATTAAGCCTATGAACAGTCACTATGAAGTGATTGTTCTGCTAATCGTTACTGCTAATAAGCTGAAGAAAATAAACCTATCAAAAATAAGGAATAAGATACTTGGCACAGAGTCTATTTTACATATTTTCCAAAACGAGAACAGTGCTTCTTTCCGAAGTTTTAAATAAACATTGTTGGTTTTATTTCAGTTTAAGCTATTTAACTCCAATTTTCTATTTTCTTTTCTTAGGAAAGAAGGGGCACTGCACAGCTAATGGGATGATTATGTATGATAAAGCTGTCTGGTCTCCCAAGCCCTGTATTACCTGCCTCTGTTCAAAAGGAGAAGTGATATGTGATACAACCATGTGCCACCCTCTGAAGTGTCCCAAAACTATTATACCTGCAGGAGAATGCTGCCCAGTTTGTTCTGATACTGGTACAGTACACCATATTTTTACTATTTTAAAACTAACTCATGCAAAACCTAACATAAATGCTACATTTAAGGTTATCAAAGGTTACAAGGTGCACATTATCCTTTCAGAGAGCAAACAAGTCCCAAATTACATGATAAGAGCAGGTCTTCATAATTTCTATTCAAGTTGACTTCAGTTTCTTAGAGTACACTGGCTGTTAGATGAGTTTGATATAATATTTAAAGAAAAGAAGAAGTAAGCAGTAGTAGAGACAATTGCATTTCTATTTTTATTTTCCCCTTTCTGCTTCTTCCCTCCTACCTTTACAAAATTTTGCTAAATGTACGAAGAAAGAACATGTTCCATTTTATATCCCACTTCTATTTACAAAGGATCAATCAATAACTATGTGCCATTATTAATGTATTAGACATACATAATAAACATAATACAGTCTACAGACTGGTAAATCTTTGTTAGGAGTGTAAAAATGTGATTTGATATAAATCAAGAGAAGAAAGTTAACTCACAAGGGGAAAAACAGAACTACAGTCTTGCTTGTTCTTCGTAAAAATTTAAACAAAATCAGTATATTTAAAAAGAAAAGGAATGGAGAAGATTGAGGTGAAATGTGATTTCCTTCCTCCACTCTGAATACCTTCAGTCTGCAAAGTACTGAACTTAACCTCCTCTTACTGTGAAAATATTATTTTGCCTCGTGTGTGTGGATGTGTGATACAGAAATGCACTGAGTAGAGACATGATAGACATTAACTGTAGAACTAGAAGTCATGTTGATTGAAACAAAATCCTTTTATTTGAATTGCCTGTTATGTGAGTAAAAACTGCACTTTGGTAATGGAGTTAATACATTTCCCTGGTGAGCTCCCCACCTACAGCCATCTCTACACCTGACAGTCCCTTGGCACAGGAGAACAAGTCCTAACCTTTGTGAATTTTATTCAAATTACCTTCCTCCCCCTCCCAGACACATTATTTTTCCTCTTTAGACACTTTTATCAACAAAAAACCTAATTAATATATCAATTCAAAAAGGAAGACAATGAAGGCTATATTAATCTTTTCCCCTTTTTTTCTGGAGCTGCAATGAATCATACCTGTCCACAAACTGTTCTGTATGGTTGGCTTAATCATTTCTCAGTCAAACTGTATCTCTTCTGTCAAGCAGCAATATAAGACCATATTTTAATTCTTTCAAATCATATTCTAAGGGCAATACGATTCTTCTATAGTTACCATACTTTTACTATAGGAGGGGTACAATGTTTACTAAAACTTTACTTTCATATCCTCTTATTGGACAAATTTTTCTTTGTTCTCATTGTCTCTGCTTAGCCTCCTCTTTGGATTCAAGTATTATTTCACTGGATGACATAAGTGAGTTTTCTGGTGATTCTCCAGAACCCAATGACCCTGACAACGTCAACATATTGTCAGCACCTACTCAAACTGAAAAAGATGAGCTGCTTAGAACAGAAGTGGTGGAGTTTAAAGAGAAAAAGGGTCATAAAAGGGGTGAAAAGAAAAGAAAAAGGAAAGGTAAAAAAAATCGACAGAAGCATAGAGCCTATCACAGAGAAAAGAAACCTGTCACAAGAAAGGGAGCTGCAGATGAAGAAATACAGTATGGAAGTGATGAAGATGATGGTACTTTTAGAATGCCATCTCATTTCCCAGTTCCTGCTCCACCCATAGAATCTCCTCCTTTGCCATCTGGATGTTCCACCTCAGACACCACAGTCAGCTGTATTAATGCCAAACTTACACAAATACCACCAATCTCAGATCCAGATCTAACAAGCCTAGACCTTACAGGTAAATAAGGGGTCTACTTTGCACAGTTTTTCGCACAAAGTAGTATTAGCCATTCTCAAATGCAGTCAATGGTAGCATTAACACTCTGTTGTTCCTTATTATAGAAATGTATTAGAATTAATTTTATAGCTAAGCCTCTAAAACAATAAAGTAAAAATATTAGATTTGCTTACTAGTGCTTACATACTAATATGAATATATCTACATGCAATTATTATACATAATACAACCGTTTTTGTAATATATTTTTCATGTACAACACTACACAACTCAGATGCAAACTCTAAGTTCATAACTCAAACTACTTTCTTGAATTCTTCCTAGGTAATAGTATCACTACTATCTCAGATGAAGCATTCAATGGGATACCTAATTTGGAATGGATTGATCTGAGTAAAAATAACATTACCTCTCCTGGCATAGGTCCACAAGCATTCAAAGTAAGAAAGCCTAACTTTTCTACTATCCTATGTTATCACACTTTGTGCCTAGTATGAGTAATCATTGTATAATTGCAACACAGTTAAACCTGGCTATTTCAAGAAATCTCTTGTCATAATCAGGAATATCTAGAGATTTTTGAATGACATTCACCAAATATTAAATGTTGAAAAATACAAGAGACAATTTTCTGGTATTTTATCAGTTGCAGTTGACAGATTTCAGAATTTAAGGGTTTATATGCCATTAACAACACCTGGGATACTCAGGCTCAACATTTGCAAATTTATGTATCATCTTTCTCACTACATTAGCTCTGTAAAGCTTATGCTCTTGGATTCCCAAAAAGACCTGCTAGGGCCAGGTCTTGCTATAAAAATCCACTCAAAAGAGTTGAGTGTCACTGTATTCTTAGTTAAAATTAACCTAAAAACAGTTTTGTGGCTTCTAATTTTTTCATTTGTAAACAGTATTTTGATCTGGAACATAACGTAATCAAATAGAGTATACTAAATACACTAGCAGATCATGTAATCAGCTGTATGCTTATTGTTGACTATCTTTAAGGAGAAATTTTCAAGCATAGCTCCTTACTAAAAGAACAGCTTTCTCATAAAATAATCCCAGAATCTTTCTATATTCAGCCTTTTTCTTGCAAGGGGAGTTTACACGGTAATGGGCGATTCAAGTGCACCTCCATACCCCTCACCTGAAGACAGAATAGTCCCATAATAATTTCTCATGCAAGCAAGGACGTAGAGGTAGTAATTCAAGTGTGGAGGTAAGGCATCAAGGCCTTGCTTTTTCAGGCAAGATGCATACAAAAAGTATATGAACACCAAAGCAAATCACCACAGTATGTTTTTAGTTTTGTTTCCTGCCACACGCTATCAGTCTTTTTGTAGGACTCTCTGTATACCACCTCCGTCCCAACAGCTTTGGCTAATTTCAAAGGATTTCGGTTCCTCCTATGAAATCGAAGTGGATGGGAAAGGCAGACCAGGAAGGTGTAAATTTTAATGAGGCTTACATCACACCAGGCAGTTAAGACAAAACTGGAGGACAGCAGGCTTCAGTGGATCCACTGCTAAAACAACTCCACCTTTTTTTAAGAAATGCTCACTACTGCACGATTACTGATGTGCGTTTATCAAAATTAAGCTATGATAATTTTTCATACCAATTTTTAAAGCTGTTTGAAGTCATAACACCCCTAGGTCACTGAAAAAGTTACTGTCATTATGCTTGAGTAAAGTAAATTTGCCGACCTACAGAAAACCATCAATTTGCTCACAAAAGAAGGGTATAAATGCATAATCTATAAATGTATGTAAGTTGAACTCCTAAATACTGCAGTAGTGTAGTAAAGTCATACCTACATGACTCAAAAGACAGTAGCAGTAATACAAATAGTGATGACTGGGTAACTGCAGGATGGCCACGTGGAAAGCTGATGTGCTCAATCAAGCTCTTCCAATTACATGACATTAACGAGGACCTTTGTTAATATTTAGTGTAAAGAAAGCAATTAATTAGACTCACAGGAGAAAAAAATATTTAAAATACTGGATACTAGTGCACTGCTGCTGAAGAACTTCAGAACACATGTTTAAGAAAACGTTAACTATGATTACGCTATATGAATTAAACATATATTTTACACCCTGATAATCTAAGTTCCATTCTTCATCCCTACGATTAAGATCCTGAAAAAGCTAAAACGTTTGTATTTGGATGGAAATATGCTGGTACATATTCCTTCTGAATTGCCATCAACTTTGGAAGAGATAAAAATAAATGACAACCACCTCCATGCCATTGATGAAGATGGCTTACAAGGTATTTGGAAAACTAGTATTGATCATATGAAAAGATTAAAATAAATTTGAAAAGCAAACTGTTTAGTCAAATGCATCTCTTTTGATATAACCAGAAAAAAAATTCCTAGCTTTAAAGTGCCGTTTTTCAAAAGGCCACAAAAGCTGAAAGATTTGCATGACAAAGTTTTTTAAAATTACATTTTTCCTTCTTATGCAACTGCTACCCTCCCCAAAACCCCTTATATTTAAGGTTACTATGTACAGATGGATTTGAAGCATGTTGAAGCTACCTACTGTCTTGACGCATAACTTAATCGCTTTATGCGTGGCAAAACTGTATTTTTTAAATTGCATGTTGTAATTTGACTGACTTTGTTTTCCTCTCTATCATGCCAAAAGGGTCCGCATTGAATTTAGATCAGTTTAGTGATACAGCTCACTATGGAGCAATGCAAATACTTGAGCTAAGACAAAGAAAACTCAGGCCAATTGATGCAAAAGCCTTTTAGTTTAAAATTATCAAACTGCATTGTTTGGAGGAGCTAGACAAAGCTTCTGTTAAAAAAAAATAAGTTGTTTAGATTATTTGTGAACTTATTGTTACGAAATAGTACTTCCTGCTTAGGTACATTAATCAATGCTGGTTTCTACGGTGACCTGCATTTGTACAGCTGAGGAGGAGGAGAAGGAACAGTATAATCCGTGAAGAGTTCTCCACACCTTACGGCAAGTGGTTGAGAGGAGAACAGCAGGGAGGGGAAGACAGGAACCCAAAGAAAAAGTAACATCCCCAGGGAGATCCTTGGGCAACTGCACAAGCATCAGCGCCCAAACACCATCTGCACATAACCATGAAGCAATCAGGCCTAAAGGGTAGCACTATCCTCAAGTCTTAAAAGCTGCCTTCTTTTCATTTCTAAGTGGGAGAGAAAGCTATAAATAAAGCTCTAGTCAATCTCTACAGTTCTACAAACTAATAAACAATTTAATTCTATGATTATGAGATAATAAATGAAAATCCTCTCACTACATTTCTTCATTGCTGTAAACTGATCTGAGTAATGTTTTAAGATGGTTAAATTTTAAACATGCATTTTAACAAGATAGGAGATGGCCTTAACTAACACAAATTCCAACTTTTTCTCCCCAGATTTAAAGAACTTGGTTACCCTGGAACTAGAAGGAAATAAACTTAGTGAAGCAAATGTCAGTCCTTTGGCCTTTTATCCTTTGAAAAGTCTCTCTTATTTGCGACTGGGACGAAATAAGTTCAGAATTATCCCACAAGGTCTTCCCGCCACTCTTGAGGTAAAAACAAAATAAAAACAACCAAACAAAACTAAACCAAGAAAGTTTCATTTTCCCAGACATTTTCTTCTCCCCTCCTCCCCTTACTGCCATACTATCACCAGGTAGAGATAAATTTAAGTTTTATACATTTGTTTCTATGTGTACTAATACTTTTTATTCCTAAACCAGTATTTCTATTTTTTTTTTTGGTTGGGTTTTTTTTTTTTTTTTAGGGATGCTATCTGGAAGGTATTTTCTTCCTTTTCAATCTGTCTAGTTTCATTCCCTGCTTATCTCAGTCTTTACTTCAATGATAATTCTTGCTAGCAATTAATTTCACCATCTCTCTTGATTTTATCTTTCCTTTTGCTCTTTGTCATTTCAGTGTCCTCCTATTTATTTCCTTTTATCCTTGGGATCTTCCACAGTCTGAAATGCGAGGAGGAACAATATCATTTCTACAACATTAGCTGGTTCTGCAGCTGCTGCCTGCAACGTTACTTCAGCCTGACGTTCTCCACTACCCATTCACTCATACGTTACACTTTTCTTTTTTTCACTTCATCCCTTCTTGATGAAACAGTGAACACCTGGCAAGTTTTTCAACGCTTCATATGCTTTGGGAACATATAATTTTAAAGCAACACCTAATACATTTACAAGCAATGATTTTCAGGCTACAAATTTGCTCTTCTCTTTTCCCAAAGCCTTCCTCTACAGGTCCTAAATTCTATTTCAGGGTTCTACATATATTGTAGTCATTGCTCCATTTTTATTTCACATTGGATTTATCCTAAATTACATGCCATTATCAGGCACTTAATCTGTGTAAAACACAGTTTTGATACATTGCAGACTCACCATTCAGTTTAAAACATTAACATTTTATGTTCCTACGAATTTGAAAGTTTCAAAGCTCACAAGTACCCAGCAAAAATACGAAGAAAGCAGAACTCTTAATATTTTTCTCACTAATAGCTTTCCAAGACAAAAATGAAAAGATGACAACTTCTAGTCAATCTCATCACTCTCACATTATATACTCTTACACTGTACAGCTTCAGGCAAGACAAAAGAGACAACTGTTTTCTATTTGATCTTTAAAAGCAATCTGTATTCTCACAAACGCGAAAACAAAACAATTGCTTTGAAAAACTGTGTTTCTGAAAGTCCCACTACAGCTACAAACTGACTCTGACTCAGATGATTATTTCTTTATTCAGAACTTAACAGATATATCAGGTAAAAGCTACATTTTGCAACGGGAAAGAACAGCAGCATATTTTGCTTTCACATATTTTCTTTTCAAATGCACTTACAGGAGTTATACCTTGAAAATAACCAAATCGAAGAAGTGTCAGAAATTTGCTTTAACCATACAAGGAACATAAATGTCATTGTGCTAAAGCATAACAAATTAGAAGAGCACAGAATAGCACCTTTGGCTTGGATAAACCAAGAGTAAGTACAAATTATTTAAAGTATTATTTCTCTGTTATTAGCGAGTCAGATAATGAAATAAATATTTGCACTTCATTACTTTTAACTTGAAATTGTAGTTATCTTTTGATGTGCTTGTTTTCCTTAGCCGATTTGTCTTAATTTCCTTTGCTTAAATCGTGTATCTAGGAAGTATTCAGAGTCGGCTTTAAAACAAAAAGATCTTATCTGTCAGATCTGTAGCATATTAACACAAAAGTCTAAATTTTTTTCTGACCACCCAATCAAAAAATGAACATTAATTATCAATAATACTCCATACAGTTATATGATAATTTGGTATTAATATATCATTTTCTCACAGATAATTTAACTATCATTAAACATTATCCTAGAATTATTTCCCATTAGATTAAAAATTATAGAAGTAAATAAGATGCAGCCACATTGTGTACGAGAAGAATATAAGCAGAGCAAGCAATGAGAATGAAAGCAGCAAAAGACAATACTGCTTTTGATTCTTCTGGTGAATGATTTGCTAAGCTACGTAGGGTACCTTGCCATAACCTATCAGCTGATTTCTGAATTTGTAAACCGCTTAATTTGAAAACCACCATACTGCTACTAACAGCTTCTCTCATCTCTGGAAGTGAAGCACATTGGAATGATTCTGAAGAAGCCATTCACAAAACAATTCAATTTCAAAGGTGCTTCAGAATAAAATTTAAAAATCCCTGTCAATGGGATAACCACTAAAGACCCAAGCTTATAACGTGTTTTCCACTGTAACTCATTATTGCAATTCAGCAATGCTTATCAATCACAAATTAGTGATTTGGGTTTCCCCTATTAAACCCTCTCTCTGTACTCACTACTGTAGATTTCTTCCCACTGACAGAATCACTGTGCTTGATTAATGATTAATAACTTCAATTCTTTCTCTTCCCAGAGTAATTATGCATGACCATGTTCCGTAAAATGCATTCTGTTCCATTAACAGAAACAAATTTACAGGGAAACTACATTTCAAAGGGAATCATGTTAAGCACTATTTTGTACTGAATGTAGCATTGACAGTGCAGTATGCTGTAATGTTTTCATCCCATTTTTTTTCTCCTTCAATGCAGGAACTTGGAATCGATTGATCTCTCTTATAACAAGTTATATCATGTTCCCTCCTACCTGCCAAAATCTTTACTACATCTGATACTTATAGGAAATCAGATTGAAAGAATTCCAGGATACGTCTTTGGGCACATGAAGCCAGGGCTGGAGTACCTCTACCTGTCCTTTAACAAACTTACTGATGATGGAATAGATCCAGTATCATTTTTTGGAGCATATCACTCTCTGAGAGAGTTGTTTTTGGATCACAATGAATTAAAGTCTGTACCATTTGGAATTGACGAAATGAGAAAATTACGTTTTTTGAGACTGAACAATAATAAAATAAGGTAATTTCCAAGCTCTTTGTTACATTAATAGCATTAAAATAACTGTCACAAGATATGCTATGTTTTAAGAACTTTTTACTTTAAAGAAAAAAATCTGAGAGCGCTACATCCTGCGTTTTCTACTGCCGTATTTCTGCATAAGCTAAGAGAAAAGTGAGATTTCACCCTTCCTCATAGTTCTTGAAAATGCTCACAAAGATGCTGAGCGCAATTTGGGCCACATCTGCTGGGGCAGCTACTATAGATAGGCACAGCAAAGTACCAGCTTTTCTTGGACCAGAGCTCAAACTTTTTACAAAATCCCTGGAAGGAATCACCAGCTGTTGCTGATTACTGAAAGTGGCCTTTCCACAGGTTTCGGCCAGGGGCAGTTGTGAATTTAAGTTTTCATTCAGCAACACGTGGCAATACCTTCCTCAGGAAAATTAAGTATATAATATAAACGAGAAAACAATGTAAGGAGAGAACTTCAAAAAGAATTACTTGTAAAAATCCTCAATAAATATATTATTGAGAAAATTCAACGTACTGATTAAGTTAACATTTTCAAATCTCTGAATAAACAGCACCTCTAAAATAAATTATAAAGTTATGCATTATCTTGAATAATTAAAATATAATTCCTCCCACAATGTCACAGGACAGTCCCTCCAGAACGCATCTGCAGGACTCATATCAGTGATGATGATGCTCATGAGAACAGTGAAGAGGAGGAGAATGAAGAGTCACGCTTGGAACATGTTCATCTTGAAAACAACTATATCAATACAAGACAGCTATCACCACATGCATTTTCATGCATAAGATCCTATTGTAGTGTTGTTCTTAAACCACAGAAGACCAAATAAACACCCAGCTTTTGCATTGCAACCCCTCTCTCTAGAAACACAGCTTTATTTATTCTCTGCCACTAACAGGTCTGCTTATCTCTGATATAAACCCTTCTTATTACTATAAATAAGATACAGTATATTATATACTGAAGTAAGGTAGTAGTGTATTTCTTAGTATTGTTACATTATAAAAACATTAAGTGCAAAAATAGAAGCTCAACATTATGTCAAAGTTTTATTTCTATTGACAGAAATTCTACTTAAACAGAATAGATCAAACTGTGCCCCAGATACACCTCCACAAGACCAGATTTTAGAAAAGAATATAACTAAACCCTCAACTTTGTCCTGTCTTATTTGATTAACTGAATTTAAAACATTGTAAATGGTACCATCAGCTTTAAAAATGATACAAATGAAAGTCCTTCAGCTATGACCATTCTAGCAGAGCAACAATCAAATTTCTAACATACACAGTACTGAATTTTCTACCAAATATTTTGCAGTGATAAATTCTCTTCCAACTGAAATTTCATGGAAAAAAATGTTAAACTGTCTCTTTGAGAGATGACCCTGAAAACTCATCAGATTCTGTATTTGAATATGGGGAGCTAGAGGAACGAGCAATTAATTTCTATGTGGATGCCTTTGGGTTTTTTTAAACAAAGTTTATTTGAAAGATATTTAGGTTTGGGCTGTTGGTTTGTTGGTTTTTTTTTTTAACTCAGAGTAGAAGGTCTGATTCATTTGTTTATAGTTAGCTTGTTAGCTTTTTATACTGTATATATATATATAGGATCAGAATCATGTTGCCCATTTAAGGGACTAATTAGACTCCATCAAAACTACAAAATATTCAGTTAGTGGTTATTTGAAAGCTTCTAGACAGTCGTAAATCATCACTTCAGAGACAACATTAATAAAGTAGTTTCAGTAATACATTTGATATGACTGCTTAGGTATGTGTAGTAAGTGTTTCCAAATAGATCTCTGTTTCCCTAGAAAAGAGTTCAGTCTCGAAAATTTTTAATGTTGGAGTTCAGATTTTAATATTATATTCTTCCTCTAAAGTGGACAAAAATTTGATAAAAAGTAGTTAATATTTTTCTTTTAAAGAAAAATTTCAATAAAAATAGAGATAATTCTAACAACTTTCATATTTCTTGAATTCTACAGTCCTTTCTTATAAGAGTAGAATGGTGGTAGGAAATTATTACAGATCACTGGCAAGTCATTATTCTTCAGGCAATTACTTACTACCTTCTCCTGGGCTATTCTGTGAGGCATAAAAAAATACGTACTCTGTTTTGTTCAGTATTATAAGCACACTGCCTAATCACTTATTCTTCAGAATGGATGGGAGCAACAGATGAAATGGCTTAATATAGAGTTGGACTTTTAAAAAGACATATAAAAGCTGTAAGCAACCGCACAACCTTCTAAGGACATATGTTAACTACTGAAGTGTAACTTTATTGCCCTCACTCTGGAAGTGAAGGTTTTGCTATGCATTTCCCACACATCCCAATCGACTGCCAACAGACATCTCATATAATCAGCATAAGCATACTGCTCACACAGTATTTAAGTGAAGGATCTCCAAACATCTTTTTTAGCATATTATAAACAGTATATATGATCAACTCAGTTTTGTTTTCTCTGAAGCTATACAATCACAAGAAAACCAAAATCACATTGTTTTATCTCAAAGTTCTTTTACTCAAATAAACTATTACCTGCAAGGCACAATGGTACTTCAGCTGCAGTGAGTCAAAAGATAATGCATTTCTTGTAAGAAACAACCCTAAGATATGTGGATTTCTGTAAAAAGACTGCTTTGGATATTGTATTTGGTAAAGTATGGTCAGAAGACATACCTTCGTGATTTGCTAAGCTTGGTAAAGAACAGTGAAATCAACAGGAGGAGTTTTTACGTACAGTGTTCTGGTTTGGGTGATTTGATTTCATTGCTTGTGCACATTCAACAATTGATTCCTTCCTTTTCACTTTGGCTAATACTTCAGCTAATATTCCTTTGTCTTCATCAAAGACTGTTAAGTTCCCATTCTGCTGTTTTGAGAGACTAAAAAAACCTAAATTATTAAAATGAATACTTTTAGTCTATTGCTAAATAACTTCAGATTTACATTGCAACACTGCTGAGCAGTGCTTTCAGAAGCTTTAGTAAGCATTTTGAATACATGTGTTGACCCAAGGAGGGATTGCCAGGTAAACAAGCTGCTGTATTACACCATTTTACGCATTCTTATAATAAACCTAAGCAAAACACCATGTATCATTGCAATTATTTTCATTCAAATAGAATACTTTTATTATCAAAACATTCAGATAGATTTTATAAGACCCACTAGAAAATCTCAACTGTATTTACATGGGATAATACCGCTAAAATACAAATGACTAAAGGTTTATTGTGACTATTAACGTGCTTTTTTTCCCCTCCAATATGCACTTTTTTCACTTTTAAGATATCACAAAAGTGAATTTTATGCAATTCATTTTATGCCTAAGATTTTTTCTTCGGCCATTTAATACAATGGGTATCAAGCTTGCCTGAAAGTACACTGTGAGAGGTTGTTCCTACAAGAAGCACTCAATAACATTAAATGACCTAAAATAATGATGAAAATATATGCCACAGTAGTGAAATAGAGACTGAAGGAAAAACATTTTGGAACCAGAACACAACAGTAGCAGAGGCAGAAGACCAAGAAGGAGAAAGAAGCCAAGGGATGAAGGGTATGCAACAAACGGATGCTTACTCACTCAAGAAATACACGGGCAATTAAACTTGGATAACATTTCCATATGTCAAATGTAAGCAGTTTAAGTCTGTTAACTCTTCAAAATTACCAACTACACTGGAAGTGAAATGAACTTTCTTATAAAAAATCCCACTACTTCTTAACAGTGAGCCTCAAAGGATTTTATAAACACAGTAAATGGCTGTATTCCATATACAGCTTGTGAAAGTACAACATAGAGAAGCGACCTGACCATTCTTGGTCAAGAAAAATAAGGGAACAAGTTCAGAATCTTTGGACACCAGTAGGATAAAAATATGCAAGGTCAGCTCAAGTTAAACCCCCTACAGTTACTGGTTATTCTCCAACAAATATTTGAGCAAATAATCTACCTTGGAAATTAATATACTTCAAGAAGGCAATTAGATTGAGAATGGAATGTAGGTTCTGATGAAGTATTAGCAAACTCAGAAGTCTTATAAAATAGTACGGACCAAACCCTGTAACAGCCATTAGACATTCTTGTGGAATTGAAATAACTTGTTTGAACCGCGGTCATAGTGGTCCTTTGACAATTTCTTAAGTCTTACAGAAGTAGGCGCCACTTGATTTTTTAAGTTGGAGAAGCAGCTCAATTGAGATATACTGGGAGAGCCTGCACATTATTGCTGGATAGGTGGAATAATGACCACCCACAGAAAGACACTGTGTGCAAATCAGCAAGTCCTGATAAGAATGTGGTTTGAGGAAGAAAACCGCTGAAGCAACCAATCAAGAAAGCCAATCAAGCAACAATTTTGACAAACAATTGGATTTAGGTATATGCACAGAAGTACTCTCATTTTTCCTGTTCTCCAGGTGCAGATGCAGCTGCAATTTGTATTCACGACAACAGCAAGGTGCAAGATGCTAAGACTGCAGAAATGTCCCACCAGAATTTTTTTTAACCATTTCAGAGAGAAAACTAGTTAGAGTAGGGCAAAAATCTGAATTAAAAAATATTTTAGTAGCCCAGCCAGAGACAAATATAAGGTAAATATATCTGAGTACAAGAATGTAATGTAAATGTTGAAAATATGAGAAGGTACGATATTTTAAAGTCAGTAATAGACCCAGAAGAGGAAAGGTTAGGATTCGATAGCCATAGCAATTCTATAACCACAGTGCTTTGGGGCGTAAGATGAATCTGGGGGCTTTAGACTCTGTCTGTAATATTTCTAAGTTTTGATTTGCATTGCTGGCTCATGCATCATACATAAGAATTTGAACGAGACCTGTTAAATCCTTCAGGTAGGTCCCATTACAAATTCAAACATCCTGTGGTTATCACCATACTGATAGAGAAGGTATTGACGCTGACATTTTTACTGAGTAGGATCTTCCTACTGGTTAAATGATAACAGAACTGTTTTGTGCACAGGGACATACACTTCCGGTAAGATCAAAACTGCAAAGGTGTCCAACAAAAGAAGGTTGTTACCATGGAAGCTTGGGTAGCTTTCTAAAGTTGAAGCAACGATTAGAGGCCATGGTTCCTCTAAAGTAAGGTAGAAGTTCTTTCTTTAAAGAAACGCCTCAGAAAAATAAAGGCATCAAATGCCTCCCAAAGTGAGATTGTTAATATTAATTCTCATGTGTTGAGGCTGTTAGAACTTCCGAGACCCTAAAAATGTAAAGCTCACAGTATAAACCCTTCTCCATTTTCAATTTCAATTCAATAAAGAATAGAGATCCCCTCATGCTAAAGCTACAAATCACTCAACTTTGCCCCAAAAAGGAGTTTGAGGTGTCACCACTAGCTTTCTAGTAGCCCGAGACAACAAAGTGAATTTCACCCAATGAATTCTCTTTTACATAACACTATAGAGTGGTTGATACAATTTCTGAATTTCGATCCTGAAACATGCATCATGCTTGCATTTACTGCAAAAACCCCTTAGCATTCACTAAGGAAAGAAAAAAAATCAAAACTGGGAAGCATGATTTTATCATTTCTCTACCAACAATCTGGCTACTCTTTCAGTGAAAGAAATCAATGAACTTTTAAGATCTCTCTCAAGTCTCAACTTTATAAACAGTTATCTCACAGCAACAAAATAAACAGTTTATAATTGCTGTTGTATAGTAATACAAATGTTAACTAGTTGAAACTCTCATGAGAAAACATTTGCTAATTTAAGTGCTCTGTTTAATTCCTAACATATACAATTTCCAGAGAACACAACACTACAAACAGTAAAATATCAGAAA